AGCTATATAGATATAGACCTGTAGTAAAGCTATATAGATATAGACCTGTAGCAAAGCTATATAGATATAGATATAGACATGTAGTAAAGCTATATAGATATAGACATGTAGTAAAGCTATATAGATATAGACATGTAGCAAAGCTATATAGATATAGACCTGTAGTAAAGCTATATAGATATAGACCTGTAGTAAAGCTATATAGATATAGACCTGTAGTAAAGCTATATAGATATAGACATGTAGTAAAGCTGTATAGATATAGACCTGTAAAAAAGCTGTATAGATAAAGACTTGTAGTAAAGCTATATAGATATAGACCTGTAAAAAAGCTGTATAGATAAAGACTTGTAGTAAAGCTATATAGATATAGACCTGTAGTAAAGCTATATAGATATAGACCTGTAGTAAAGCTATATAGATATAGACCTGTAGCAAAGCTATATAGATATAGACTTGTAGTAAAGCTATATAAATATAGACATGTAGAAAAGCTGTATAGATATAGACCTGTAGAAAAGCTATATAGATATAGACTTGTAGTAAAGCTATATAGATATAGACATGTAGAAAAGCTATATAAATATAGACCTGTAGTAAAGCTATATAGATATAGACCTGTAGTAAAGCTATATAGATATAGACCTGTAGTAAAGCTATATAGATATAGACCTGTAGTAAAGCTATATAGATATAGACCTGTAGTAAAGCTATATAAATATAGACCTGTAGTAAAGCTATATAGATATAGACCTGTAGAAAAGCTGTATAGATATAGACTTGTAGTAAAGCTATATAGATATAGATATAGACATGTAGTAAAGCTATATAGATATAGACCTGTAGTAAAGCTATATAGATATAGACATGTAGTAAAGCTATATAGATATAGACCTGCAGCAAAGCTATATAGATATAGACCTGTAGTAAAGCTATATAGATATAGACCTGTAGAAAAGCTGTATAGATATAGACCTGTAGTAAAGCTATATAGATATAGACCTGTAGCAAAGCTATATAGATATAGACCTGTAGCAAAGCTATATAGATATAGACCTGCAGCAAAGCTATATAGATATAGACCTGTAGTAAAGCTATATAGATATAGACCTGTAGAAAAGCTGTATAGATATAGACATGTAGTAAAGCTATATAGATATAGACCTGTAGAAAAGCTGTATAGATATAGACCTGTAGTAAAGCTGTATAGATATAGACCTGTAGTAAAGCTGTATAGATATAGACCTGTAGTAAAGCTATATAGATATAGACCTGTAGAAAAGTTGTATAGATATAGACCTGTAGAAAAGCTGTATACATGTAGATATAGACCTGGAGTAAAGCTGTATAGATATAGACATGCAGTAAAGTTATATACATTGTAGACATACCCCTGTAGCAAAGGTATATAGAGATGTAGACCTGCAGCTGGCCATATAGAGTGGTAGACCTACAGCTAGCCTATTTGGAGATCTGCATCTAAGCTATATCAAAAACTGGACCTACATATAGAGTTGTAGACTTGCAGCTTCGATAAAGTAATACCTAACAATAAATAGATATAGTTAATATTACTCTATAAAATATATACTTACTATATCATAATTTTCATATCTGTCAGTTTTGGGTCTTGTATAGTCACGGTAACTTGCACTAGAACTAGCCCTGGAACTTATTCTAGATTCTCTTCCAAGATCTCTTCTTTTCTGATCTCTTACTGTATGTAAAAACAAAATAAAATAATTTTGGATTAAAGTGCCTGTGAAATGGCTGCTATTTTCACGCCTAAAATTATCCATTGATACATAAATATTATTATTTTTTATGTTTCTAAGCATAAATAATTTTTTTTAAGTGAAAAAATATGTTTTAACTCAGTCTACGGAAACTTTATTTTTGTTTATTTTAAAACGAGGCTCCTCATTAGCTTCTCATTTGCATACAGAAATTCCCCATGTGACGTCAGAAGGGGAAGTCGCTGGGCAGCTTGCATTGCCGATACGTGTAAATAAGGCAAATTTCTTGTGCTGTTTTCTCGTCTTTGACTAAACTACCACTTATGAACTTGTTCTTCGAGGAAGAATGGACCATAATGAACACATAGTATCAAGTTTGTTGCATGGAGTTGAGTCAGATGCGAAATATTCCGGTCTGGTGTAGCTAGTCACCGTGATCGCCACCGAAGCACGTTTGTACACTGTCGCTGGACTCTGTCATTGGACAAAATCAAATTTGACGGCTGAATCGTCTTGTTATTTAGCAGGTTACTAGAAACTATTGATTTATAAAATAGAGAAATAATTTAAAAAAAACGACAAAACACAGTTACTAAATAAATGACTGCCGCGTTGTAATGGGTGAACGCGTCTGGTCATGAGGGGTACAAGTGCATGAATGGCGGCGTTTAATTGGATAGCGACTCACATACAGACAAATTCAGAGTGGATTTAGCGTGATTTTCATGATTATGACATCATATTAAAAAAATACATTGACAGCTCAAGCCCGGATTCTTATTCCGTAAATTATTACGCCGATCAAGCTGCAAGTAAAGGCAACAAAGGTGTGAATTCGACATTCAACACCAATAACCGAACAATTCAGACACTTTTAGCCTGCGAAAATGAAAACAGCGTGAGGGCTGCGTAATTTCCTGTTTGTCTGACGCTTCGTTTTCGTGTCATTATCAAAATTACTGCTACCTTTTTACATAACACGGGTGGTCTCTATAGAGCGATAATCAGGATCGCAAAAAAAAAATCAAATTATTTGAAACACATACTCGACGTCTCTCCCTCTTCTGAAATCCATCTCAGTGATCATGGGCTGGTCCGGAATCTATTTTTTCGAAAACGTTTTGTATTGTCGGCGTTTCTCGTTAAAACCTAGTTGTTTTGTCATGGACAAGGACAGTTTTTCAAAAAAAAAGAATCTGAGGTGCAGAAGTTGACACTGCATATGACACTGTTAGGAGGAAGTCCACCCCAACCTTTTCTCGTTATTTTCACGGCTTTCGTCCACCGATTTCGCACCTTCAGATCGATTGGAAACGTGTAAATACTTACACTATGATTATAAGCATTACTGCAACCGCCCACAACACAACGTTTAACCATCATAAAAGTTTGTTGTGAAAACAACTTCTAAAAATTCGCTCTCTCAAAAATAAAATAAAATAGACAAAAGAAACGCCGATTAAAAAATGTATATCGTTTAAAAGTACAGTTGTACGTTGAATGACACAGTGATATAAAAGTACAGCCCAGGGGTATGGCTTCCTCTCATATTTTTGCATTT